AGCTCACAAGAACAAAATATTTACAAGAGAAAGATGAAATAAGAATGAAAAACTCTTCTCTTGTGTTTGATTGCTTGGATGGTTGTTCTCTTTTTACTTCTTCAAGTGTCCTTAGCTTGTATTTATAGCTTGGAATGTGTTTGATGACGTATATAACCGTTGGGGATGTTTTGGAGCCGTTTGGGGATGATTTTTATACTCAAAAAGGATGCCCATAACATGGTGCATCGGTGCACTATCAAGGTGCATCGATACCCCTTCATTAAATTCAAATAAACTAGCCGTTACTAGCCGTTGCAGCCTTGGTGCATGGATGCACAGCAGGGTGCATGGATGCACAGCAGGATGCATCGATGCACAGAAGGATGCATCGATGCACTAATTGTATTCGGTGTTTGAGTGCATGGATGCACTGCATGGTGCATCGATGCACTAGTGCAGGTGCATGGATGCACTGCAAGGGTGCATGGATGCACTTTGACTCCCTTTAGCATTTTTTCTCAAATTCAAATTTAATGGACTTTGAATTATTTTTGAAACCTTTTTAAAACTTTAAATAAATTCAATTCATGTCCAAAAACATTTTGCCTTAAATTTGTTATATCGAAACATAATTCAACATAAGTAATTATAATAATTTTTAAAGCCCGGACAAAAACGGGTGTCTACAGCTGCCCCTCTTTGCACATTCTTGTGTTAACAAGAATAGGGCAAAGATGAAAAAGACAACCGGTTTTCGTCTAGTCCTTTTTTTTTGGGCCTTGATAATGTTTATTGTTGGGGGACGATACTGCTCATATGTGATGAAGAGTTTGGGTCGTCTACACGACTCCTACATGATGAGGAGATCTGGTCAGGGATGACACTGCTCATACTATGATAAGTCTTGGTCATCTTTAGGGAAGGTGATAACACGGCTTATACGTGATGAAGAGTTTTGGTTATCAAGGGTTGACATTGCTCATATGCGATGAGTCTTGGTCAGGGGATGATACTGCTCATATGTGATGAGTCTTGACCATATAAAGGTGATAACATGGTTCCTACGTGATGAGGAAGGATTGTTATCAAGGGTTGACACTGCTCATATGCGATGAGTCTTGACCGTATAAGGGTGATAACACAGTTCCTACGTGATGAGGACGGCTGGTTATCAAGGGTTGACACTGCTCATATGCGATGAGTCTTGGCCAGGGAATGGTACTGCTCATATGCGATGAGTCTTGACCATATAAAGGTGATAAGGACAACTGGTTATCTGTGTTTGACATGGCTCCTTCATGATGAGGAGATCAGGTTGGGGATGACACTGCTCATACTATGATAAGTCTTGGCCATATTTAGGAAGGGTGATAACACTGCTCATACTATGATAAGTCTTGGTTGTCCAGGGTTGACACGGCTCCTACGTGATAAGGATATATGGTCGGGGATGACACTACTCATACTATGATAAGTCTTGGTCATCTTTAGGAAGGGTGATGGTTTCAAGAGAAACTGACTCAGAGATAGTGCTTTAAGAGAAGTTGTCTCAATAGAGACAAAATTCGTTTCAAGAGAAATGATCTCAAATATGAGTATTTCACAAGAAACTGTCTCAAAAGAGACAAAATTCGTTTTAAGGAAAATGATCTCAAAGATGTTTGTTGTTTCATGAGAAACGATCTCAAGGAAAATAAGACTTGTTTCAAGAGAAATAATCTCAAAGATGGTCGTTGTTTCCATTGAAACATACTCAAAGGTTTTTTCTTCAAAAGGAACTGTCTCAAAAGAGAAAATTTTATTTCCAAAGAAACATACTCAAAGATTTTTTTTCAAAAGAAATTGTCTCAAGAGAGACAAAACTTGTTTTGAGAACAATCTCAAGTGATATCAACTTTGTTTCAAGTGAAACAAACTCAAAATTTGTATCTTAGAGGAAAAATGTCTCAAACGAAATGAAATTTGTTTTGAGGAATTGTCTCAAGTGAGACAAATTTGTTTTTTAAGAAAATTTGTCTTAAGCGAGACGACCCTTTGTTTCAAAAGAAACAATCTCAAAGTAGACCGATAGTCCGCTTGTTCCTGCTGTTGGAGGAAATGCCTTCAGAAGATATGATTATTGACTTTAGGAAGTCAAATCATTGTTTCTTCAAGTTAGAGACATCTGATCATTTTTGCACATTGATTTCCTGAAAAATCAAAACTATGCATTGACTATCTTCGATGTGATGATGGATGCCAAGATGAAATTTATTTGATGTTTTATTGAATTTGTCCTCAAGAGAGGGAAAATCAAGGTCTTTATTGTACATAATGATGAATGCAAAGATGCAAATTTCATGCTTCATGTATGTATGTTGATGGATGTATGTTGATGTATGTCTTGATCATGAAATTTATAACCCGCAACAACTTCAACACATACTTTAGCATACTCAAGTCATTCCCTAGAGGCAATTATAGTATCCATATGTAAAGGTTTACCTAATGCTCTTGCGATGTAGCTAAGCCCCTTTTTCGAGAATAACTCAAGAGGAACATGAAAAACATGAACCCGAACTGGCATATGAATCAAATCGAAACTCAGTTCCTTCAAGTTTGGTTCCCATTTTCTAAGAAAGATATGCTTATGTTGCACATGCCAGGAACCATTCTCTAAAACCCAATCCCTGGCAATCGAATTAACAAAAGAAAATACGAATAAACTTGAGCCATCCAAACTCACCTTCATCGGAGAGGTTTCCCCACAATAGCTCGATCGTCTTCTGCAGAAATCCAAAATTGGGAGCCGAACCTACAAACTGACCCATAAATGCATTTTTCCATTCTGAAATGCCTTCTTCAAACACAGCACAAGGCGGTTTTACCGCCAACAAACCCTTAATCTCTGACGACAAGAAAAATCCAACTATTGCTCATCTTCCGCCGCGAACAGTTTTCTCCAGTCAGCAGAAACGCTCCTGACATAACCCAACCAAATACTCAAAAGAAACGACAAGAACCAAGCAAAGAAAAGCAGATCAAGAAGGAGAAAAATGGTCGTGTCCTCAATCGCCATTAAAGTGTATTAAAGCTGGGTGATTTTGTCGACGGCAATCCTATATTTTTTATTGTTTGTTGCTTTGTTATTCGTATGATCATTTGCACTTCACATATTATACTAGTGTCGGATATTATTTTTTTGGAAATATTAAAAGAATTGAGCCCATTGTATCTTCCTACCATCCGAACATGATGTTTTGGCAAGAGATTCATGGTTATATACAATGAAGTACCTCCATGGGACAATGGTTAGAGTGCATGGTTCATGGTGTTGCAAATCAACGCATCGACTTACGATATTTCCGATTTAAGGTCCGAAAAAAATTGATGGGTCTTTGCCGCCGACAAAATCACCTAGCTCTGGGGACTCAGAAAAATCGAACAAGATTTGGGAATGGGACATGTCAACTCTTGGGGGAGTTGTTATTGATCTTGTCTCACCATTGATCAGCTTTTGAGGATTTGGAGAGACTGAAAATATCTCAATTCTAGGAGCCTTTAACCTATAACTCTGAGACTCTCGTTCCTTCCAAAATTTTGAATTAAAATCCATCTACTAATAATTTTTTGTCCAAGTCATTAAATATTAATCAACTTTTTTCATTACACTACGGGGAATCATCAACCGAGTGTTCAACATCGAACATTTATTGATTCATCAAACCTAATAAAGTTAAGCATGAACGACTCAAATAACACCTTCACCTCCCACTATAAATGAATTTGATTCTTTATTTCACTGCCACTTGCAATGCGCCCACAACTTATGGCTTCTGCTCTTGCTAGTGCCTCGTACTTGTTTGGAATGTCCAAATCAAAGGCTAGCTTTCACGCGGCTTGGATGCTGTAGAGACACCAATAAAGGTTGACGTTTTAATATGAAAGAGCGAATAAATGGGGGGGGGGGAAGAAGAGGAAAATATCATGCAAGGGAACGGTATCTTATCTCCAATGGAATCGAGTCTTTTGTCATTGATGGACCAGCCAACGCCATCGGACAATTCATTTCCATGTCCGTGATTCAATTATAAACTGTAATACTATTGCTCAAGTTTATTAACTTGACCAAGCTCCCCTAAAATAGTATAATTAAACTTTAATCCCTTCAAAATCTTTGACATTCAAGTTATGAATTTTCCCATCAGAAACAAGAGGCAGAGGTGGGACCTCTGAGCAAGAATCGGCGACCACACAAAAGCAGTGTTCACATGAAACGTGTCGTTTTGAGAAGCACAGCTGGCGTTTTTGTAAGCTTATAAATGGGTTCGCGCTTTCTTACGTGTCATTATGGGTCCTATGATGACCTGTACTACGCTGTTTTGAATGATTGCCTTTATAATAAATTAATAAAATAAATATAAGTGACTATAAAAAAAATAATTTAAATTTTGTTTTGTTTTTGTCTGATTATTTAATAAGAATCAACTAATTGTTACTCAATAGTAATATATGTATAATATCCGGTTTGACATTAAACGTATTTATGATATTTTTTATAAATATAATTGATCGAATTTAAAATTTTAAAAAAAGAATAACATTTTTTAATTATTAAAGTCATTCAATGGATAAATATATTTAATTAATATATAAACAATGTCATAAACGTACGTATCGATTCAATTATAAAATTACATAGAAATTGAACATATTTAAAGATCAAATTATCTTAACGTACAGCTATTATATTATTGTTGCTATTCATTGCCAATAGAGATAATAGAATCATTATACAAGCAACCGCGTCTTAGATGGCTACTACTTCTTCCACCAAATAGTCTCAAAGAAATGAATACGGAGAGAAAAGGAGTGCTCACAATCTAAATAAATATGAATTATTTTTATTAGGTTTTGATTTAATTTAGTCTTATATAACCAATTTAGATAAAGGAATTAAAATTAAATAACAAGTCAAGGTTTTTAATTTGACTATTTATATAGGCCATCATCTCTCCAAATTGAAACCCCCCAAAGATTATTGTTTTTGCAAGAGAAAAAGAAAAGTGGCATTTGTTAAATCAGATGTGTCGTAAGATGAAGAACGCCAAGCTCTATTCTTTTAAGAATCTGACAATTGTTCTCATTTCATTCTTCATCGGCTTCTCTTCATGTGAGCACCACCGTCACCGTTCCATTTCCAGCCATGGCGGCCGCCTTACCGACCAAGAAGCGTTGTACATCAAGCAACGCCGGCTTCTATATTACCGAGATGAGTTCGGCGACAGAGGCGAAAACGTCACTGTCGACCCATCACTTGTCTTTCAAAACCCCCGCCTCAAAAATGCTTACATAGCTTTACAAGCATGGAAACAAGCTATACTCTCCGACCCTACCAATCTCACCCGCGATTGGGTCGGATCCGATGTTTGTAATTACACCGGAGTTTACTGTGCTCCCGCGCTCGATAACAAGAGGATCAGAACGGTCGCCGGCATTGATTTGAACCACGGCGATATCGCCGGGTACTTGCCGGAGGAACTCGGGTTACTCACTGATGTTGCATTGTTTCACATCAACACGAATCGATTTTGTGGGACAGTTCCACACAAGTTCGTACGTTTGAAGTTGCTGTTCGAGCTGGATCTTAGCAACAATAGGTTCGCTGGTAAGTTCCCTGAGGTGCTTCTTAAGTTGCCTTCACTTAAGTTCTTGGATTTAAGGTTTAATGAGTTTGAAGGGACAGTACCGAAAGCTCTTTTCGACAAAGATTTGGATGCTATTTTTATTAACCACAACAGCTTCAAATTCAATCTCCCCGACAATTTTGGTAGCTCACCGGTATCTGTTCTTGTCTTGGCTAATAATAAGTTCCACGGTTGTGTGCCGGCGAGTCTCGGTAACATGACCGGTCTCGAAGAAATCATTATGATGAACAACGGGTTTAGATCTTGCTTGCCGGAGCAAATTGGGCGGTTGAAGAATTTGACTGTGTTCGATGTTAGCTTTAATGAGTTAATGGGTCCTTTGCTGGAGAAGATTGGGGAGATGGTGAGCCTCGAGCAGCTCAATGTAGCGCATAATATGCTGTCGGGAAAGATTCCGGCTAGCATTTGTCGGTTGCCTAAGTTGGAGAATTTTACGTTCTCGTATAATTTCTTCACCGGAGAGCCGCCTCTTTGTTTGGGGTTACGTAGTTTTGATGATAGGAGAAATTGTCTGCCGGCTAGGCCTTTGCAGAGAAGTCAGGCCCAATGCAAGTCTTTCTTGTCCAGACCGGTGGGTTGTAATTCAATTAGATGTAATCCTTTCGCTCCATTGCCGTCTCCTCCTCCACTGTCTCCGCCCGTTCCAATGCCTTCTCCACCAGTTGTTGTGTCGTTACCACGGCCTCCTCCACCACCTGTGTATTCACCTCCCCCGCCACCAACATCACCTCCACCACCCGTGTACTCACCTCCCCCGCCGCCACCACCATATCCTCCACCACCTGAGTATTCACCACCTCCACCTCCACCATTACCTCCTCCTCCGCCTCCACCGCCTCCACCTCCATCTACTCCCCCACCATCACCCCCGCCACCTACGTATCCATCACCACCTCCACCTTCTCCCCCACCGCCAGCACCTATATACTGCGTGAGGTCTCCACCACCTCCGCCACCAAATTCACCACCTTCTTTGTTTTTGCCACCACCACCGCATCATTCAACGCCACCTCCGGTACATTCTCCACCACCACCACCACATTCACCTCCAGCACCAATCTATCCGTACTTATCTCCACCGCGACCTCCTGTAAATTCCCCACCTCCTCCAGTTCACTCACCACCGCCACCTTCACCTCCACCATGCATCGAACCACCACCTTCTCTTCCACCACCATGTGTAGAGTACTCGCCGCCGCCACCATCAGCATCACCCCCACCCCCACCCCCACCCGTTGTAACATATTCCTCACCGCCAGCACCCGTACAATACTATTCTCCCCCACCGCCAGCTCCTGTATACGAGGGACCATTGCCACCCGTAATGGGAGTTTCATACGCATCACCTCCACCACCTCCTTTCTATTGATTCTTTTGAGAAATTTTCCTCCTCTAATGAGCTATCATCTTCATCACAATGAAGGTGGAAATAAGAGGAGAAATTCTCTCCCATAATTTATTGGAGTTGTGAAAAATTAAAACAAAAAATGGCAGAGAAAAGAATGTAGGTTAAGAAACAAAGTCGTATGTATAGGGGATGAATTTGGAGAACCACAATTATATTATCCAGTTTTAGAAAACCTTTCGGTATATATATTATCATCCAGCCTTACAATACTTGTAATAATTGATAATGAATTCCCAGAATTCAGTGATTCGGTTGCTGTTGAATGTCCCTTGTGCACAACAAGTTGAGCAGTTGTTCCATAATATTGGATTGTGAATCAAAATGACATATATGTATTCACATGATGCCCTGTTTTTCTCTCTTTGGAATGTCAAACTTGAACTCAATGGACCTGTCTTTTTCCCTCCAAGCACATGCAGGTTCAGTTCCAAATCAATGCCCTCTTCTCCATTATCAAATACAGAGCTCAATTTTGGATTAAACTCTTAGGTCCTTTCCGTTGAAATCAGGCGCTAAATCTCCTTGTCTAATTCTAATTCTCTCCCATAACTAAAATTTAATTAGGGGTGGTGACCCCAATCCCCATCAGTGATTTGAGTTGCCCTTCATAGTAATCTTTTGAATACCTTCCATCTGTACTCGTCTAAGCGTAGGATAGAGCCCAATAGTTTTAACAAGCCTGTTATGGTCTATGGGTATGGATTTAGAGGGGAAAAATCAGAAATCAAAGTCAAAATGGCATTTTCTAGTTTCAAGAAACTTGCATTGAATACCCAGAAACCAAGCTTGATGTCTTTGGTTTTCTCTCATTCGCAGTTAGATAGAAAGACCAAAATAACCTCTTGGGTTTCTGATGTTCACCTACACTACTACATGGAGACGTTTGTTTGTCATTTTTTAAACGGGCTAGATTTTTATTTCGAATGCAAAAGGAGCCTAGAGAAATTAACAGGCAAATTAATAAAAACGGATATGACGGGGTCCGGCTGCGTCCCGATCCAAGATCTCGTGTAAATCAGACGGAACAATGTCGAAAATCTAGAAGTCATCAACTACATCCCAAGCCGTTCTAGCAAAGAAATTTGCAGCCATGTTAGCTTCTCTTTTTATAAGATTGAATTGAAGCTGTCAATCTCGATTAAGTATATCCCAAATACCACGGACCAAAATGAGAGGACTAGAATTTGAAGTTAAAGAAAGGAGGTCGAAGGCATCCGCACTATCCACCTGAACAATAATGTTTCGAAAGCCCCTATCCCAAGTAAGATTAAGGCATCGAAAACTCCCCATAACTCAGAATTGATGATCGAAGAGGAGACCAATTTATGAGCAAAACCGGCAATGAAACTTCTATCATGACCACCCGAGGAGCTGTGATTAGAGTGGCTCACCGAGCCATCTGTGTTGAGGCAAATGAATCCCAGAGGAGGATGTTCCCAACTGATTTCAGTAGTAGTAGATCGGCCACAGACAGCAAAGCACTCGAATTGTAAATGTTGGTCCAAGAGAGGCTTTGATGGAGTAAAGAAACAAGAGTTTGCTGGCTATTTTGAAAGACCCAATTATTTCGCCGCTTCCAAATACACCAAAGCAAAGAAGAGAAGGCTGTGCTCCAAGGGATGCAAGAACCAGCATACTGTAGCAAGGAAGAAAAAGGCAAATTGGCCACTAACTAGTCATGGAATCAAATATTGTCAAAATCATTTTTAGTTATCGTAAAACAAAAGTATACTATGAGGCATCAAAACTTTATAATTTATGATTACAAAGCTAAGATATAATCAAAATTAACCCATTTAAAATTGAATTAAATCGAATCAAATGCACTCTTATCCAAACATCACAAGATAAAAAGTCGAAGCATTTTTCATTTACGTACGGACACAACACTTGAAAAAGTAATGTGTAATGGTTAAAAAGACCGACATTATTGTCTCTTTGCTCTTTAGCGTATGGACCGGCCGGCAGCCTTTGATTTTGGTAATTATGGACCCTACGATTTTGTATGGTGCAAAAGAATAATCATGCATGTCACCGCAAATTGGAATAAATCATTATTTATTTTACAAGAACTTCATAATGTTTCCTTTTTTTTAATTTGGACCTTAAATTTAGATTTTATAATATTTTAAAATTTTTAGATAGTAACGCGATATAATTTTAGAGTCTTATATCATAAAAAATATTAAATATTCCGAAAACTGTCCTATAATAATATTACATGAAATATTCAAATCAAATAATGGAAATAAGAAAAATTAAAATAAAGCTCAACTTTGGGAAAGTTTTCTATGACCTTATCCTGAGATCATTCAATCTTATTTTGATTTGTTATTTGATTAATGGACCATTGCTCCTTTATTGAGTTTTTTTCTTTCTTTTCTATCTCTCTCTCTCTTATCATTTCATCAGCATATACGTAGGTATATAAACTTTTTTATTTTTTTGTTGTATATTAAATACATAATAAATCTTTATTATATACATTACCCCTTTTAATATATAATTCTGGTTCCGTTTCTTCTTACAAACTTCTCTTAAAAAATCTTACTAAACTTTTAAATTAATCCATATCATAAATATGATAGTAAAATTATACTTTAACCCCTCTAAAAAAATACAAATCAAGTTTAACTCCTTAATCTCAAATTTCGATGAATAAAAGGACCATCATAAAAAGTGGCATATCTTTAGTCTAATGGAGTGACCTCTCTTTCTGACTTTTCTCCCCACCAAATCAACAGTTGTTGAAGTATGTAATCATTTTTAATTTTTCTATCTTTGCCTATCTACGAATTGTTCATTAAGTACCCATTACAATCATTAAATCATAATTTTATGCTAATATTGGACTATAAGTCATATATAGAAACAAAATCATAATTCTTATTAAACGGTGCCAAAATGAATTTAGAAATATTTGGAAGGATCGTTGGACTAGTTTCTAATTGCATAATTTCTTAAGAGATTAACGATACAATTTTTTTTTTTTTGCCATTTTAGAGGGACAGAAGACCATTACATAAAAAAGTATTTATTAGGTCCTTACTAATTTTGAAATAAGACAATTTAATCCCCGAGTAAGGTATTTATATTAATAGGATATTATAGTTTAATGGAAGGAATATAAAGATTTTTTTTAAAAGAAGCAAGTTGAGAATTTACCACCACTCGTCCAATTGAGTGGGAAGAATTCGATGTTTGAATGTGTTAAATTCAAATTGTGGACATAAAAAAATAACTTTAGAAAGAAAATATATTTGAGATATCTTACTTGATATAACTCCACGTCTTTACGGAATCTTCCTTTTGTTTGGCCAAGAATTTAGTTGGGTAAAAATAACCCTAAAACGATAATCCAGGGGAATTTAGGGTTTTGTTTTTATGTTTTTTTGTGTGGCTAAGCATGAGAATTTAGTAAGGTTAAAATAAAATAAAATCCAAGTCTTGTATGCTACGACGTAGGAAAACGGGTACATAAAGCTCACGGCAAGGGGATGAAGGTGGTGAGCTTAGAAGAAAGCAAACAGCAACTCCAAAAGCAATCTCCCACTTTGTTGCTTTATTAACTCATTGCAAAACAAGAAAAATATTAAGCAAACTCAAAACCCATCTCTCTCTCTCTTTCATGTTCTCCTTCCTTCTCTGTTCGAGAGAGAGCTCCTCTTTGTAGATTCTGAACCTCGGGTCAATCTTGTTTTCAGGTTACATTAACTTCTTCAACTGCAACTTCAGTTCATGCGTATATATGTTTGGAGTTTATGATTCTATATGTTTTGAAACTCATGCAAATGCCAAGCAACGAGTGTTAGTTAATATTTTAATTCTTTTTACTGCAATTTTCCATTCATGAACTAAGAGAGATAGAGAGAGGGTAAAGTAAAGTTTCCGTTTTTACTTTTCTTGAGAATATTTTTTCTTCATATATTCATTTCACCTAATATCTTCAACTTTATCAACCTTAGCAGAGAACCGTTTGACTGTTGTTAGAAAAACATAACATTAACCTGTGTTCTTAGCTGTAAAACCCGTGAATACCACCACAGGGTTCATATGGTTGAATCGGCCCCAATGAGTCAAAGACTGCTTGCCAGTGAAGAAAATTATTTCAAAGATTCCTTCACTCATTTGTTAATTCATACACGCTTCTCCATGCAAAAAGAACATAGGTATATATAAATTATTGTTTTTTTTATATCTTTTTGGTGAAATAAATTTAATTCTTTGCTGTTCTTGCAATGCTTATTTTCAGTGTTTGCATAAAACAAGAAAAGAACAGAAGATTCACTGCCAAAATAGTTAAACCATCAAATAGTGATTAAAGTTGGAAAATTACCGTGCATTGCACGCTATAGAGTTTCAGATTCTCATTTGTTGTGGTACTTACAGATGAGGAGGAATAATTTCTTTGTGATTGAAATTTTGACTTTTTTAGGCTTTAATAGAAACCAATTTTTCTTATGAGCACGAACTTCGATGATTCACCTTTTGACATTGTGGTAACGGTATCATGGACCCTTAAAACAATGATTAAATTAATGTTAGCTGATCTTTAATGTTACTTTTTTTTTACCAGTGAGCTGGGATCTACAACTGGTATTTTTTCTTCTACTTTCTCGAGACATTGAATCTGTAATGTCATGAAGAGTGGCGGGTGTTGGAGGTGCAAAGTTGAAATGGAGAGTGGTTTACCAGTCAGCCGCAATGAAGGGCATGGAGTTCTTAAGGATGGTTCCTGGTTTGCCCAGTTCAGGAATGGCTCCAACCCTTGGATGGCTAGATATGTCTATGCAGTGATGTTTCTAGCTTCGAATTTGCTCGCTTGGGCTGTCCGAGATTACGGCCGCAAAGCGTTCCCGGAAATGGAAAGTAAGATTTATTGTTTGCCAAAATGCTTTTATGAGAACATGCTTTTAGTTTTATGTTATTTGCTACTGCATAGTTCATATGAATCTTGAGTTCTGAGTTTCTTTTTTCTGAATTGGCCATGCTAGGGAAACCGGTTTATCTTCATTACCGAAATCCATGTTTCATAGCTTGAGGAATTCGGTATTGAAGTTGCATTGGAAGTAAAATAGCCTGGTTTCCCCCAACTGGCTAGAGCTTGACCATAATAATGTTAATCAGTTTGTTATTTGACAATGTGGTTGCAGAACTGAAGAATTGTCAAGGTGGCCATGGTTGTTTGGGTGCGGAAGGAGTCCTACGTGTGAGCTTGGGATGTTTTGTATCCTTAAGATGCAATAGTGGATCTTTTTTGGTTAGTTCTTCAAGTATTTTGCTTGTGTTGCAATATTCCTTAACTTCATTCTAGGCATTCTTTTTTGTAATGTTCCTTTCAACTGCTCGCACCGAAAGGATGTACAATTGCAGAGACTCATGGCATTCTGGATGGTGGTCTGCAAAGATTGCCCTCTGGATTGCCTTGACGGTGATAGCCTTTTTGGTTCCTACTATTATCGTACAGATATACGGTTCGTGTTCAATTCTCCTGAAATGTCTACCGTCATTGTATCTTTTTTAATGATTAATCTTAGGACTTAAGCACAAGCTTTGGTTTGCTCAAAACGTGTGTTGCAACGTTGTTTCTTTTGGCAGGGGAGATTGCGCATTTTGGTGCCGGGTACATCACAGATTCCTGTTTTAAATTCATCTGTATAAAACATGTACAATCTTATTGGAGTAGCCTTTGAGGAAGTTTTAAGATGCTTCCCAAGTTATATTTAGTCAATCTTATTGTTCAATGATTTTTCTTCTTATCCTTTTCAGGGTCTTCCTCTTAGTTCAGCTTGTAAGTGTCATCAGTTTCATTACATGGCTGAATGATTATTGTCAATCCGATAAATTATCGGAAAAATGGTAAGACTCTTCCATTGTTAGAACTGATTCTTGGTCCGACAAAACGGGTCTTATTCCAAGATGTGAATTGATTCGAATTGTATTACATTTTCTTCAGTCGGATCCATGTGATGTCACTTGCAACTGCTGCATATGTTATATGCGTAGTTGGGATCATCATGATGTACATCTGGTATGCGCCGGAACCGTCCTGCCTCCTTAATATTTTCTTCATCACGTGGACACTGGTACTCATTCAACTCATGATGAGCGTTTCCCTCCACCCTAAAGTATGTTCTCAAAACTAACGGATTTCCGCTTCTTGGACGCTATGGCATGATTTGTAATCAAATACATGACTTGTGAAACAGGTGAATGCTGGCATCTTGACTCCCGGGGTCATGGGGCTTTATGTTGTATTCATCTGTTGGTGTGCCATCCGAAGGTATGATTTTAAGCCGTTTTTAGAAATTTCACAATGCATCGTATTCGTTAAGTGTTTGTTGTTATGAACTGCGGTCAGTGAAACCCGTGTTCAATCATGTGATTGTAGTGAACCGGCTGGGGAAAATTGCATTAGGAAGGCAGAGGAATCAAACAGAACAGATTGGCTCACAATCATTGTAATCTTTTATTCTTTTGAAATCCATTAAACCAAGTTCTAGTGACAGCTCTTGTAACAGATTGGCTTAACTCTTTGTATCCTTCCAGAGCTTTGTCATTGCGCTACTGGCTATGGTTATCGCTACGTTTTCGACCGGCATCGATTCTCAATGTTTTCAGGTTTGTTCTGCAAAACTCGATAAGTCATATAGTAGTTATAACATCCCATTTTCCATGAGAACGCATCTCACAACAGCTGCAGTTCAGGAAAAAGGAAGCACCAGCTGAAGATGCAGTACCATATGGTTACGGCTTCTTCCACTTTGTTTTCGCCACCGGAGCAATGTACTTTGCGATGCTATTGATCGGATGGAACACTCATCACACTATTAAAAAGTACGTCCCTTGCTTTACCGTTTGATGTATAGGTCGAAAGCCGAAAGCAAAAGCTGATATAGTTTCACATTCTTGCAGATGGACTATCGATGTCGGTTGGACTAGTACCTGGGTCAGGATAGTGAATGAATGGCTAGCCGTCTGTGTTTACTGTAAGTACACACGACCCTCGAACTTAAACCCTAAACTATTTTCTCGGAACATGAATTATAAAGAATAGTCTTATGCCTTGGGGTTGATCGTGTGTGTCACAGTGTGGATGTTGTTGGCTCCCATGATAAGATCGAGGTTTAGACAAACAAGTGAAGTTGCATGAAGAAGCAGTTTGAAAGGTGCTCGGCCTCGGAATTCATTTATTGCAGTTGGCTGCTATGATCCATTGTTGCATATGTAGCAATGGTGCTTCAGCTCAAAGAGGGGGATAGGCAAATACAAATTATATTGAAATTTGTCAAGCAAAATGCCTAATTATACTTGTCAATACACAAACTGAAGGAAGATATAAACTTCCTTCCACCGAGTCGTTAATACAAGAAACTTACAAATTTTGATATGGGGTCATATTTTATGTCGTGTTTGATCTTAGTTTCGTCCATAATGAGCACCTAGTTTGGCACAAGCCATTTGGCGATCCAAAATGGTGCAATTTGCCATATAATAGCAAGGGGATGCTCTTTTGAGACCAAAACAGAAGCATTTGGCTCCCATATTTGGTGCTTGTCGTGTCTGTCACCCACATTTCTTAAATGCTTCCACGTGAAACTATTTGTAATTCCAGCTTTGGTGTTTTACTTGAACGTATGTCACATGACTAGCGCGTGCTTAACATGCTTTTCCAATCACTCATTTATACCACTCACTTTACTTTTTTTCTAGTTACTGTTTTTTTTTAAATATTCCTCTGTTTCCACCACTAAAAAGGAACCCTCATCACTCACATGGACCAACCTGGTCCCGTTAATCTTGTAGAAAATACTATTTTTTTATAAATAAGGATTAATTACCTCACACATTCTCAAATTAAAGCCTATATTAGTCCTCCAAATATAAAATATTATAATTGAATTATTAAAATATCACTATCATATTAATTAAATCTTTTTGTCAGTCTAACCATTAATTTTGATAGTAGAAAATATCTTAAATGTGATGTGAAATATATTTAAAACACAAGAATTAAATTTTAGTTACACATGTATCTAGAGTTATTGCATGTAAATCTTGAATAGTAAATTTTAAATAATATTGTTTTTGATTTGTTTGAGGCAAATTGTCCATATAATAAGTGCATGCATCATATGATACTTTGAAGACTCAAATATTTTGTAGTTTAAAGATGAGTTTAAAATCTGATTCATGACTTGAGGACTTTTGTGCAATTAACCCTACATTTAGTATACGTACATTAAAGTCATATACTACAAAAATATAATTAAGTCATCCAATATTTTCCATTCTCTTATGACTTGAGAGGGCGCCAATAATTCAATGCCACATGTCCCCCTTTATATTAGTGATAAGATGAAGACAAAGGTTGGCAACAAACTCCAATTCTCACCTCACTCCTTTTGAATTATTAATCTCCACTCCCTCACATATCCTTCCATGACTGAGGCAATGATGTAATTTGAAATATACTATAAATGATTATAGAAAACATAAAATTGATCCTTTAGTGCATGCGCCATGATCATACACCAATTGTACTTATACACCCTACTAAAGATGTTTTTAAGTAGTTAAAGTCTGTTGAATCGAGTGCTAAATAATTTAATATCTATAAATAAGGTCTAATCCAATTTGACGATAGATTTCATCGAGAAACAATACTAGAAAGAAGGATGCTTACATAGTGTAGTGTATTGGCTATAAATAATTGTTAGGTATCATCACATGCCAGAGCCATGGCCACATGCAAGGTTCAGCTTCTCCTTAGCGATCTCTTGCACTACTAACTATAATCCTTTTTTAACTTCTTTACTTCCCATATCTTGCATGAAATTTGCTTTATCCCTTCCTCCGCCACTCTAACCATGATTTTTCATGTGGACGCTTACTGTCTTTATAAGCATTGTTTTGAAAACTGGACCGGACCGGCCGGTTTAATCGGAAATCGTTGCCTAGTCCGATTCAATCTACACCGATTGAAATGCTATTAGTGAACCGACCGAAACCGCTGAACCGTTCAAATCGGACCGGCTAAAAATCAGAAAAAACTGGGAAAAACCAGAAAAAAACCATCAATTTTGTTTTTTTTTTTAAATTAAACCAAACAACGTCATTTGTTAAACGAGCCAAGTCAAACTCGAGTAATGCTGAGCTCGACTCGAACTTGAAAACTTTAAAAGTAAGCTCAACTCGACTCAAACTCACGAGCTAAAAATTATCAAGTTCAACTCGAACTCGAAATATAATATTGAAACTTGAACTCAAAAATGCTTGAACTCAAAAAAATTTAGAAGCTCGATTGAAACCTAAAATTCGAGCTTTATTGAAGTGAAAGAATAATTCACTCAATGCTCACCAAAAGACTCTATGATTTTGAATGCCAAATTACCTCTATTATTTATAGAAGTTAGTTGGGATGCTCTTCTATGTTTCTTAGCCATGTGGGATTGTTTTATTCTCATATTTTCTCTTTAGACTTTTGGGATGCTCTTCTATGTTTCTTAGCCATGTGTGATTGTTTTTAAAAAAAATTAAACCAAACAATATTATTTTGTTATGATTTTTTAACCCCAAATTTATTTTTTAATTATAGTTATATAATTATATTTATTATTTAATATGTTTTATCATAATTATTATGTTGTAGTTAATTTGAATCATTTTATGGTTTTTAACTTATATATGTTCTGACTTGCTTTGAATATGATTTGTGATATACAAAATTATTTTTTATTAAATATTTTTGATACATTTATTTATTTTTTTAAATAATTATGACATCGTCCAGTTATATCGATTAAATTTTCGACCGATCAAAACGATTTAATCAATTGAACTAATAAATTGATAGCATGACTGATTCACTAATCAGTCCGATTCTCGAAACTATGTTTATAAGTAGCTCACCACATTCCATATGCGTCTGCTTGGCGGTGATTTGCTTTTGCTTGGTTAATAGGTTTTCAGTATTATAGCTTTTGCTTTTCCCAAGAAACTTTGACCTTCTCTGTCTCCCTACAGATATTATTATTATTACTTGATTTGATTTTCTTCCTATAAGATTTGACATTTTGTTTCATGTACGCATGTTTGAGTTACCCAAGTCAGTAGGGAAAAAAAACAATGAAAAAACTTAGTTTTGGTAAGATGCTAGAGTGTTTATGTCTGTCTTCAATCTCAGGCTCATCATGTTCTTGTTTCTGCATGAACACTTTAGACGATGAGTTTGAGAAGAAGCCACTAATAACATCCGAAAAACCCCAGTTGCTGAGATTGAAAGATGTTTTTTCTGGCAATCAGACATTGGCTTTTCAACTTAAGCCTAAGGTAAGAGTTTCTTTTTTTTTATGCCTGTAATGTGTTCTGTATATGCTCTCATATAGAAACATTTACTAAATGAAAACTTCCCATTTGATTTGGTATTTGTAGATAGTGGAACTAAGGGTTTCCATGCATTGCCATGGCTGTGCAAGGAAAGTCGAGAAACACATTTCAAACCTTGATGGTAAGATATTTCATTCAAACCATCTTAGCCTTTCATTTTTTGTTTTCCTGAGAAAGTATCAAAAAGGCTTTATCTCCATTTCTCTCTCCTTGGTGAAGAGAAGAAGTTGAACCTAATTCTTTGCTGTCAGTCACTTCCACCATCAACTTACCTTCCTCTACTTGAACATCCACCATACACTTTTAAATAGAGTTTGGGTGGTTCTGCGGTGCGGCGCCTAAAAAACGGCTAATATACGGCGTGACCGGTTAAACAAGTGACCGGTTAAAATTTAGACCGGTTATGTTATATTATTTAACCGGAAATATTATAAAGTATAATAACATACTAGGTAGCGCTTATATTTACCTATTTTATAAGTAAACCGGTATATTTATACCGATAGCATTGCAAATTTACCTATTACATTATATTATATTGAAAGTGTCTATACTTTTTATAAAAAGGATCGATACTTTAACAGTGTTTCATGTTTTCCACTTACAATATTAATTTAATAATTTCATTTGCACAAAAAATTATTTGATTATTTTGATATTTTATAAAATAATATTTAGAATTTTTAATTTAATAATAATATATATCGTAACGTAAAAAATAAATCATTAGACGCCTATAATTACTAAATTAATATCTTAAAACTCACTCAAAAGATAACCTTAAATTAATGTTTTCCACAGTGAAAAAAGTATGGATACTTTTATAAAAAGGATAGACACTTTACAATATAACCACTACCTATTACATTATATAAACGATACCTATTACATTATATAAGGGCTACCTATTACATCATATGTTTACCTATTATATTGAAAGTGTCCATACTTTTTATAAAAAGGATCGATATTTTTTTTAAAAGTTATGTAATTTATGTTTCAATTTTTTTAACAGTGTTTCATGTTTTCCACCTACAATATTAATTTAATAATTTCATTTGCACAAAAAATTATTTGATTGTTTTTATATTTTATAAAATAATATTTAGAATTTTTAATTTAATAATAATATATATCGTAACGTAAGAAATAAATCATTAGACGCCTATAATTACTAAATTAATATCTTAAAACTCACTCAAAGGATAACCTTAAGAACACTTGAAGAAGCAAGAGAACAACTATCCAAGCAATCAAAAACGAGAAAATCCCAACATGATAACAACTGAACATATCATATCAATGTTCAAACTCAAGTTGTAGATTTTGATTTCCTTTTGCTTGGCATCATATGAGATTTGGATTTTGATTTCCTTTTGCTGGGCACCATATGAGCTTTGGATTTTGATGAGCATCAGAAGTATTTCAGACTTATGATTTGGGTGGTACTCAACTTATGATTTTAGTTGCTATTTGTTACATTTCTTGTATACCACCCAGATCATACGCCCGAAACGTTTCTGACGCTTTAAAGTTGACCAAAAAATAAAATGGTCGGGATTTCCCTCGCGTTTATACGTTGGAAAAAAAACAATGGAAATTAGGAATAATCAATGATAACATGCATATTGGCTTGGGCTAATATTTATAGTGGAGCCGAAATATATATTGAAATTCAAACTCAAATTGAAATTTAAATTCAAACTCCAATTACATATGAAATGAATTTGAAATGCAGTGTTAAATTGAACATGAAAATTGCATAATTGATTCATACTGTTCAAGTAACATGCTTTATGAACCATCAAGCTAAAAGACAATATTGATTGAGTTCAAAGCTGAGTTGTGAGTTGATGGAGTTGTCACACTTGTCACATGGTTGGAATAAAGTACTCACATGCGAGATAGATTGTTTTGTTATACATAACCCATCTCAACGAAATTAATCCAAATAATGTACCCATAACAATGTTCAATTAATGTACCCACAACAATGTTTAATTGATTTGTTGTTTAATTTTCAATTTGAATTATTTGATTTAATAATTTCATTTGCACAAAAAATTATTTGATTGTTTTGATATTTTATAAAATAATATTTAGAATTTTTAATTTAATAATAATATATCGTAACGTAAAAAATAAATCATTATACGCCTATAATTACTAAATTAATATCTTAAAACTCACTCAAAAGATAACCTTAAATTAATGTTTTCCACAGTGAAAAAAGTATGGACACTTTTATAAAAAGGATAGACACTTTACAATATAACCACTACCTATTACATTATATAAACGATACCTATTACATTATATAAGGGCTACCTATTACATCATATGTTTACCTATTATATTGAAAGTGTCCATACTTTTTATAAAAAGGATCGATACTTTTTTTAAAAGTTATATAATTTATGTTTCAATTTTTTTAACAGTGTTTCATGTTTTCCACCTACAATATTGATTTAATAATTTCATTTGCACAAAAAATTATTTGATTGTTTTTATATTTTATAAAATATTATTTAGAATTTTTAATTTAATAATAATATATACCGTAACGTAAAAAATAAATCATTAGACGCCTATAATTACTAAATTAATATCTTAAAACTCACTCAAAAGATAACCTTAAATTAATGTTTTCCACAGTGAAAAAAGTATGGACACTTTTATAAAAAGGATAGACACTTTACAATATAACCACTACCTATTACATTATATAAACGATACCTATTACATTATATAAGGGCTACCTATTACATCATATGTTTACCTATTATATTGAAAGTGTCCATACTTTTTATAAAAGGATCGATACTTTTTTAAAACTTATGTAATTTATGTTTCAATTTTTTTAACAGTGTACTGCGAATTTAAAATGATAATATACTTGTAGTTATTGTACATATCTAAATATGTACTGCGAATTTAATGTTGTACCCACCCTTTAACTACCACTACCAATGCCACATCCTATTGAAAGCAGCACGACAGAAACATGTTCAAAATGAACCTTCGTTTACATATCCATCAACTCCTGGAGCACTGAACTTGCACAACAAAATTTTTGCCATGGATAATACTGATGTAGACAATGTTAAGCTAACCGAGGAATGCCATGAAGTACATAATGTTGATGAATCTGACAGATTGGTTGGTCAGCTCTTCTGTTCACGTGATCAAGCTTGGCACTTTTACAAGGGATTCGCATGGGAACATGGGTTTAGTGCACGTAAGGGAACAACACGGCTTGACGTGGAAGGGAATGTGAAGACACAAGAATTTTGTTGTTCCAAAGAAGGGTTTCGAGTATCAAAAGTCAATACTGTTGATCGTCAACGTGCTCATACGCCAGTCACAAGAACATGATGTAAGGCTAGAGTCGTAGTTACAACAACAAATACAAACGATCAGTGGGTTATAAGTAAGTCTGATCAGAAACATAATCATGCATTGTGCACATCTGCTATGACACCATTTATGCGTTCTAATCGAGCTGTAAGGCTGATATCGATGAGGCAACAACATTGAAAGAGGTCGATGTTGGCACGTCACAAGTAATGAACTATTTAACGCAGCAGGCAGGGGGCTATCATAATGTTGGATTTACACATAAAGACCTCTACAATGCACTTCAAAGAGGTAAAGCAAAGGAAATCGTCGATGGGGATGTGAATGCGCTTATTGCCTACTTTGATTATAAGAAACATGATGATCCCGGGTTTTTTATGACATACTCGGTAGACGAATCGGGGGCATTGTATAATCTTATTTGGTCGGATTCTACATCGAGATCGGATTACACATGCTTCGGTGATGTAATTGCGTTCGACACAACGTACAAAGATAATTTGTATGGTCGACCAATTATGCCTATTGTTGGTGTCAATCATCACCATAACACAATTGTGTTTGCCACTGCCATAATCGCTGACGAAACGTCTCAATCTTTCGAGTGGGTGCTACAGAATTTTTTAGAAGCCATGATGAATAAATCATCTATTTCTGTTGTAACCGATGGGGATAGGGCAATGCAGAGGGCTATCAAATCTGTTATCCCTTATGCTAAGCACAGATTATGTTCTTGGCATCTTTCTCGCAATGCACAAGCTAACATTGGTGACCCAAAGTTTACAGCAGCATTCTCAAAATGCATGGCTTCCTGGTGGACAACCAAGGAATTTGATATTCAATGACGTTCGATTGTTTCAGAATTCAACGTCCAAAAGCATCCATGGGTGATTGAGAAGGGAAATACACGACACTTATGGGCACAAGCATATCTAACCGGTCATTTCTTTGCCAATATTCGCTCAACACAAAGGTGCGAGTCTATGAATGCTTCACTAGCTATTGCACTGAAACACAAGAAGACATATTTAGATGTTGTTCGTGCAATTGAAGATGGAATTAGTAGAATGCGTATGAACGAGTTGAAAGCGGATTACTTAAGTTCCCATACGAAGCCCTTCCAGATCACAAAACTGGTCGACCTTGAAAGCCATGCCGCTGCGATTTTTACCCGCGAATCTTTTTGTGTGTTCCAAGATGAACTTATACGGGAGACATTGTACCGGATTGAGGCAGAGATTAAGTCCTTATCAGATGAATGTCAACATTATATTTTGTCAAAGTACGCAGAAAAAAATAGGAAATTTGAAATTAGTTTTGATTCTCGTACGAAAACTCTAATTTGCTCCTGCAAAAAATTCGAGACCGTTGGACTTCCGTGTCGCCATCAACTTCACATTTTGAAGCAATTGGACTACACATATTTGCCCGGGACTTTGATTCAAAGTAGGTGGACTAATGATGCGAAGGCTTCTGCACCCAGCTATGTTGATTTGAATGTGTCTCCAGAAGTGATGCAAATGGCAAGGTTCGCTGCTCTACGTTCAACGTCAAGTAGGTTATGCTACATTGCATCAAAGACAGACGAGTCTTTCAAAACCGCAAGAGATGAGATGAAAAAACTAATAGAAGAATTAGAAAACTCGTTTGGTTTGAATCATTCAGTCAACCAGAGCATTGTAGTAAACAATGTTCGTGACCCTCAACGAAAACAACGCAAGCGAAAAGAAGTGCCGAAGAACAAGGTCGAGAAGAAAATTAGGC